CAATGTGCTCTTTGGCAAATTGTAACCTCTTCAGCACGTCTTTTTTTTTTTTTTTTTCTCAACAGTGGGACTTTGCGGGGGCTTCTTACAGATAGCTTGGCTTCACATAGGCGTCTTCTAATTGTAACAGTACTCACAGGGAACTTTACACCTTCTTTCATCTTCCTGGAGCTGATTGTTGGCTGAGTCCTTGCCATTTTGGCTATTCTTCTATCCATTCGAATGGTAGTTTTTTCACTTTCTTCCACATCTTTCAGGTTTTGGTTGCCATTTTAAAGCATTTACAATCATTTTAGCTGAGCAGCCTATCATTTTCTGCATTTCTTTATATGTTTTCCCCTCTCCAATCCACTTTTTAATCAAGGTACGCTGTTCTTCTGAACAATGTCTAGAATGACCCATTTTCCTCAGAATTTCAGAGAGAAATACACTGTAACCAGCATGTACAACATTTTTGCTGCCTTCCTTCCTTAAATAAGGGCAATAATTGCCACCTGTTTTTTCAAAGAATGAATGACCTCACTAATAGAACTCCACACTGCTAATATTTTGAAAATGCCCCTTTCAATTAGTGATTCAATGACACAGAATCAGCAGCATGCATGTCATGACTGTTGGGTCTGTTGGATTTCTATTACTCTACTCCACCTGCTAGTAAATTATTTGCCATGTAGAAATATCATTTCTACCAAAAACAGTGATTGATCCGGTTAGTGATGTCTGACTGCTATTATTTTGAACACAACTGCATATTTCCCATTCCTACATTTACCCATTTCTGGCTACTGAAGAACTCCAATGATGATAGATTGCAAGTACGCATATTAACAGTAGACATAGTTCTGAAGAGTTTTCCTCCTAGGTAGCAATAGTCGAATAGAGTAGGTAGAACTTTAAAATCCAGCAAAGTCATAAAGTGTTTCTGATTTATAAGACCAGGCGGCATTTATAAACACGTAAAAAGCTGTATTTTTGGGAGCAAAAGTTTGAGGCCAGATATATTCAGATATTTGGAAAATGGTTTTAATAAAATACCTACTCTAATCTACTTTTCCTAGGAGCTCTCCATGTCAGCACATAGGGTTGTGGCTCTGCCCATAAGTCCTTTAACGACAGCTAGTGAGAAACTGGGCACATGGAACTGCATCGAAGGCAGCAACAGTTTAACAACAACCTCAAGGCATGTACCTGGGCTTAGAAAGGAATTTTGCCTACATAAGTAGCATCTGCACCTGTGCTGTGTCAAGTACTTCGCCCAAATACTCCAAAACATTGAGCTAGAACCAAGGCCACCTTCTGAAGGTTCAGCACCCAGCCAAACGTCTCTAAAATTTGTGCCATCTGTTGAACATGTGATACTAGTTTCTGAGTGAAATTGCTACCCGAGCAGCAGGTAGCCCACAATGGTGATAACCTTCATTCTCAACAACCCCAGAACCAGAGTCGGCACTTTAAACACTCTTGGGGCTGTGGACAAACCAAAAGGCAAAGCTGTGATCGGATAGTGGTGACCCTCCACTGCAAATCAGAGAAACTGTTGGTATGGTCAGAAAACCAGGGATGTGAAGGTAGACATCCTAGGTGTCTACTGATGACAGAAGTCCCCATGATAGAGCGATGCAATCAATCAGGTAAAAATACATCCTGAATTGTTGTACTTTTTGGAACCCTTGATGTCTAGTAAAGGCCAGATATCTCCACTTAGCTTGGGAACCGTGACAAAGTTGGCATAGAAGCAGTGAGACCTCTTCTCTGCCAGCACAGGTGCAATGACCCCTTGGGACAGTCTTTTCAGGGTCACAAAGAACCTTTTTTTTTTGTTGATCAGTAGACAATCATGAGCACAAGTGTGGAATAAGTAAGCAGTGAAACTCCAGCTTGTAGCCTCTGGCCACCATACCGCAGTTGTCGAAGATTCTTCAATCTGAGTGACCACAAGGGCCAATAGAAGTATTTGCCACCTGTGAGAATGGGGGCACTCCACTATGTGGAGGATATGCCTCCAGAACATGAAAACTTGGGAGTCCAAGTCTTAAGGAACAGGGAAGCGGCGTTCTGCTTAGAGGACTGAGGTCGGCTGCCTGCATAAAGACCTCCTCCTGGATTTAGTAGGCGTTACTAATTTCTGACCTGTCATTTCTGCCTTTTTCTTTAGGGATAAGAGCATGTTTGTACCCACAATCACCCTCTGGATGAAAGCATCCAAGGATAATAAATGCACATTTTTTTTTTGCGGGTAAAAAAAAAAAAAAAAAAAAAAAAAAAAGTGCATTTATTATTTTTGTCCAAAAGAGCTTGTAAAGCATTGCAATAGCGATCAGTAGAGCACTGATGCCATGCAGACTTGTCAGAATATCTGCTTTCCATACGGGATGTATGAGCAAGCAGATTTACTGACAGGAAGCTTCAATGAACTACCATGGCGCTCCACAGCTCCGTGGTAGTTCATTGAAAACTACAAGCCGACAGCCGCTAAAGTTGTCACAGAACACTGGGAATGAGTGACGCAGCCATGGGGGCAGAGCCCCACACAGCCACACGTTTTTCAAATCTGAGAGATAGAACGGGGAAACTTCTCCCTGTGCTGTCAGAGGGAGGGGGGGGGCAGGGGGAGCAGCTGCAGCTATGGGGATATGTTGCACCCTAAAAATGGGTGGAACATGTAACATGTTCCAAAGGTGAACTGAACCTTTAAAGCCTTATTTGCTTCTTGCAGAGATGTTCTACCAACCAATACTTAAACTATAGGATCCAGCACCAAATGATAGACATTACAGGCCGTTCTCTTTCTTAAAGATGGCTGGATCCGGTTCCTATTGGCTGTAGCAACCAATCCAGATAAGGCCCACCTCTGCCCCAGCAGACCAGGAGTAACGGGAATAGAATCCAACAAAAAGACCTTAGGGCTCAGGAAGGTATGTCCATCACCTTCAAAACACAAGCACAACAGTGAGGCTTAGTGAAGCTAGAAGGGGTTGTGCCTGAGCAGGAATTTCCGCATTTTTTTGGCCAGTATCCATTCACCCTAAGGCGGCAGCATATCTCAGTCAAACATTACCTCCGTGGTGTCCTGTGATGCACAACAAATAAAGCAGTATTAGAGTGGTTGTAAAGGCTCAAGGTTTTTTTTTTTTTTAGAATGCATGAAGGTAAAAAACCTTCTGTGCAGTAGAACCCCCCCCCCCCCCCCCCCCCCAAATACTCATCTAAGGCCCCTCCTGATCCAGCGATGCGCACTGGAGTCTTGTCTATCCCAGGACTCCCTCTCCTCATTGGCTCCCGCTGCTGTCAATCACAGCAAGCCAATGAGGAGGGGGCAGAGCTTAGCTGCAGCTGTATATGTGAATGGACACAAGAAGCAGCAGCTGGGGAGTGTGCATCATGCTCGGGTGCCCCCCATAGCAAGCTGCTTGCTGTGGGGACACCCGACAAGAGGGAGGGGTCAGGAGGGCCGGCTGGGGACCCAAGAAGGAGGATACAGATGCTCTGTGCAAAACCACTGCACACAGCAGGTAAGTATACAAGTATATACATGCTTGTTATTTAAAGTCTTACTTTTTTTTTTCTTTAAACCCAAAAGCAAACATTTATTATATTGCAGCTTACCAATTCTTAAATGTGATGGCTGCATTAGTTTCCTTTTTTTAGGGTTTCTCTCTTCTAGTCTCATCTTGTGGATGGGTCATTGGGATGTCAGTGGCAGTTAGTCAGTTTCCCCCCAGTGTCAGAATGCCCGCCGCAGTCCCGCAATTAAAAAAAAAAATAAAATCACTGATCGCCGCCATTACTAGTATATATATAAAAAAAAAATACCAGTGTATATACCGCCATTTGTAGACGCTATAACTTTCACGTAAACCAATTAAAAGAATACATTTTGTCCTAAATGTATGAAGAAATTTGATTTTGCTATAAATTATATCCAGTAAATTTTTTTTTTTTAAAAAAGTCAAAAATATTTTTCTTTTTTTAAAATTGTCAGTCTTTGTTTACAGTGCAAAAAAAAAAAAATGCACAGGCGATCAAATACCACTGAAAGAAGGCTCTATGGGGGTGGGGTGGGGGGGAGACATGAATTTAATTTTTGTACAGCATTGCATGACCAGTTACAGTAACACAGCGCCGTATCAGAAAAAAATGGTCTGGAAGAGGGGGGGGGGGGGGGGTTAAATCCTCTGGGGAGCAAGTGGTTAAGTAATTTTCCAGCAAAAAAAAAAAAAAAGGGGAGGAAAATAAAGATTTTAACCTGTGCAAAACAATGTAAAAAGTTGCTCCAGACAGGAAGTGGTTATAAATCAGAGGAGCCAGAAACTGAACAAAATAAATAACTTTAATATGGCACAGGCAATATTTTAAATACTGTATACACACTTTGCCAACACTTTTTTTCTGCATTGTGTTAAAATATGTAAACATACAAAATACATACCAATGCAAACATCAGATAAGGAAAAAAGTTAAGTTGTATTAAATATTTAAACACATTCAAGAGATTAATATGGTAAGAGATTCATGTTTCACTCATTAGTGACCTGCTAGTTACTGGGTTCACATTCTATAATGAGAATGGAAGGCTGAACAAACTCACTCCAGGCAGTGCAGTATACATGTACATCACACTGGAGGCAGCAGTGAGTAGGGTCAGATAACATGAAGCCTGTTTATTCTGAGTTTACAGTCTAGTCGGTCCACTTCAACATTACACAGTTGCATGCTGTGAGGAAAAAGCGAAATCCACAACATTATGGCAATTATTTACTAAAACTGAAAAAAAGCAAAGTCTGGTGCAGCTGTGCATAGAGACCAATCAGCTTCCAGATGTTTTTTGTGAAAACTTAGCTAAACAAGTTGAAGTTAGAAGCCAATTGGCTACCATGCACATTTGCATCAGATTTTGCACTCTCCAGTTTCAGTAAATAAAGCCCAATAAGTCTGCCAGGGTTCCCGTACACTCCCTATTCACTCATAGCAATCGCTTAGCCTGTCAGCTCATTCCGTATTTATATTCCTTCGTTCTTTTCTTGGTCCTGTTTTGTAGTGTTGTCTCCCACCAGCTCCTTCAGTCTTGCCAAATGCTGCAAAGCTCTGCAACAAAACAAATACAAAGTTATGCAAAATAAATAGTAGCAAGAAAATGTCATCATACACAACAAATTAAGAGCTCTTTACAAAACTATTAAAGCTGAACTCTAGTGAACAAAGCAAACAGCAGTAAGCAATTGCAACAGCAGTTTACACTGAAAAATGACTACCAATAACCTTAACCACTTCCATATCGGGCACTTTTACACCTTCCTGCCCAGGCCAGTTTTTCAGGTTTCAGCGCTCTCACACTTTGAATGACAATTGCGCGGTCAATACAACATTGTACCCAAACTAAAATGTTATCATTTTCTTCACACAACTAGAGCTTTCTTTTGGTGGTATTTAATCACCGCTGGGGTTTTTATTTTTTGCTAAATTAACAAAAAAAGACTGAAAAGTTTGAAAAAAAAAAAAAAAAAAAAAAAAAAAAAAATCACACGTTTTTTTCTTTGTTTCTGTTATAAAAGTTTGCAAATAAATAATTGTTCTTCATAAATTTAGGCCGAGATGTATTCTGCTACATTTCTTTGGTGAAAATAACTCAAATTAGGATGTATTTTTTAGTCTGTAGGAAAGTTATAGAGTTCACAAACTATGGTATAGATCTGAATATTGATCAATCCTGAAAGTACTGACAGCCAATCTAATTTCTTGAGGTCCAAGAATGTCAGAACAGTACAGACATCCCCCAAATGACCCCTTTTTGCAGAGTAGACAGTCCGACGTACTTCATAAGAGGCATGGAGAGTTTTTTGAAGTTGTATTTTTTTTGTCATAATTTTTTGGAAAATTAAAAACATTTCACAATTTTTTTTTTTTTTTTTTTAACATACTGTCACCAGTGCAGTACAGTGTCATCATATAACTGGCATGGCGGTGAACAGGGACACTGACTGGTGACAGTATGAAACTTTTTTTTTTTAATTTTATTATTTTTAATTTTTATTCAATTTTTTTCTTTTTTTTTTTCATATTTCACTTTGACCAAAGTAGTACAATGTTACCATAGTAACATTGTACTACTTTGGGGAAGTGAACAGTATTTTTTTTTTTTTTTTTTTTTTTTTTTACACAATTTGCTTATAGCAAAGAATTACTTTGCTATAAGCAAGCATTTACCTGAATGACATCGATTCATTCAGGGCTTTTTTTTTTGTGCTTAGCTTTGATTTGGCCATGGCTAATCACATGACACAGCTGGGCGGAGATTGGCCCAGCTTGTGCATGTGATCGCTGTGACCATTCACAGCTAGGCACACTAGTATACAATGGATGGCATGAATGAAGCCATCCATTGTATACAACTGTCATGTGACCTGCTGTGATTGGTCACAGCAGGTCACATGGTACCAGCAACGGGGCCGGTACTCAGATCTGTCATCGGCCGTGTCCAAGGTACGCGGCCGGTGACAGATCGCGCCGTTGCGCGGCTCTGCAGGAGCGCAAACTGCGCATGCCCGGGAGGACGCCATATGGCGTCCACCCGGAACGCTGAAGGATTTTGCCGGCCGCCAAATGGCCATTGGCTGGGCGGCTAATGGTTAAAGAATTGAGTTAAAGAGTGTAGCATCAAGTTAATGAAACTCCTGGGATATTGATCTGGTCAGTGAAGTAGCAGAGGGGGATGTTAATCAGTTTCAGCTGCTTTGGTGTTAATGAAATTAAGAGGTGCACTAGATGGGCAACAATGAGACGACCACCAAAACAGGAAAGGTTTTACAGGTGGAGGCCACTGACATTTTTTCCCTACTCATCTTTTCTGTTTTTTCACAAGTATTGCATTTGGCTAGGGTCAGTGTCACTACTGGTAGCATGAGGCGATACCTGGACCTTACAAAGGTTGAACAGGCAGTCCAACTCCTCCAGGATGGCACATCAATACGTTCCATTGCAAGAAGGTTTGCGGTGTCTCCCAGCACAGTCTCAAGAGCATGGAGGAGATTCCAGGAGACAGACAGTTACTCTAAGAGAGCTGGACAGGGCTGTAGAAGGTCCTTAACCCATCAGCAGGACCGCTATCTGCTCCTTTGTGCAAGGAGGAACAGGATGAGCACTGCCACAGCCCTACAAACCCACACACCATCCATCATCTCATTAGGAGCCTTCCCCGACATTGTCAGGCATGCATACAAGCATGTGGGGGCCATACAAACTACTGAGGACCATTCTGAGTTGCTGCAATGAAATTTCAGCAAAATTGACTAGCCTGCTGCATCATTTTTTTCCCATTTTGACTTTCGGGGTGTCTTTGAATTCAGTCCTCTGCAGGTTGATTATTTTCATTTCCAAACGATGGGGCGTCCTTACATTCCTAACACATTACCCAGTCCATATCAGTATAGATATTAAACAGGAGATTTGTCCCCATTGAGATCAGATGAGTTTTCAAAGTGTTCCTTTAATTTTCTGAGCAGTGTACATGCACACTAAATACATTGCATATATTTACGTAAATAAACGCCCCCCCATGTAGACATTTAAAAGTCCTGAGATCATCTTGGAAGTGATGTCAGCAGCCCCAGCAGATGCAGAGCTGCCACAGGGTCTCTTTAAAGAAACTGCTAAATAGAAAACATTTAATGCAGAACTCCAGCCTCACCCCCAACCCCCACAATTTTTAAAACCTCCTATAGCTCTGACATTTTCTCGCAGCAGTGGGGGGCAGAAATTCTTTCCAGACTGAGCGGCACTCACTTATAGATGTGTGAGCACCGCTCACCCTTGGAGTACTGCAAGCCCAGGCTGTGTAATGACGCACCCCCTACAGAGACTTGTAAAGACAAGCTGGGTTCATAGCAAATGGGCAGAATAACACGGTCATACTGCCCTGAAGAGGACCACCAATGCAGTTGAAAAAACACGCTGGGAGTGGAGAGTGAAGATTGGAAATATAATACATACATACTTTATAATGGAGAAAGGGGGGGGAGTTACTTAAAAATAAATTGTGGTGCTCTGCTTTAAACAAAAAGGAGATATAAGTGTTAGGTCCCCTTTTCAGATAAAATTGAACAGATGATCTAACACTGTACACCCAACCTACCCCCCCCACAGTACTTCCCTCAGTGGGCACAGAGCTGTCAGTCCCATGCAGCTGGTGCATTGCTCCAGGGATTTTGAAGTAGTATTTCACTTTCTCAATCAACATTGACTATTTCTAATCCTTATGCTGCTAGTATTAGTAAATAATTGTATTAAAGATTAAAGAAATTTAAATATGATATACTTTACTGTTACTTCCTGGTTTCCTCCCTAGGCAAATGAAGTCACACATCCCAGCAGTCTTCAGGAGGGGAGGGTTCTCAGCTCAGCTAATGCCTGAGGCAAGTGCAGATGGATTTCAGAGTAAATGCTACATGAATCATCTGCCCTTACTCAAGATGGCCTCTGCCAGAAATGCTGGGTGGTGTTTTTCAAAATTATTTTTCAGCAAAATAAAGCATGGAGACATGGATGGATGGGACAGTTTGCTTTGAATATTAACAATGAATTTATTATCATTTCTGGTTTGTCGTACTCACATGCAGTGCAGTTTCACTTTAAGTCCCCTCTCTTCTCTGTGCAGTACTTCTGGGACGGATCAGAGCAATGCTCCGTGCCGGTACTGACCAGTCAGAATTGCTCTGATCCCAGAAGTGCTGCACAGAGAAGTGTGGGACTTCAAATTCTCTGCACCAGCTGCAAGGGCAATGGCAGCTCAGCTTCCACGGAGGTAAGTACAGAGGGGCCTGGGGCGGTGGGAAGAGTGTACAGTGTTAGATCACCTTTTCATTTTTTTTCTGAATAGGTGTACACTGGCTATAGATCTGATACAGACGTATCACTATGATCGCTCAATGGTGTTTTTTGAGGTATTATCTACAAAAATGCTCTATTTTATTATAGTTTATGTAAAAGACTATAAAATATCAACAAATAGGTATAAAAGGTGAGGTGTAATCGGGGGACAGAAACTGTGTACCTTCACCTAGGTGAATAGCTAAAAGAAAAAAAGCTTGGATGTTTCTACTATTCAAACTTGAGGATCTAAACCTCCCCATTATACAGACCAAGGATCTAAACCCCTCAATACAGACAGAATATGTAAACTCCCGCTCTAAATCCCCCCCCCCCCCCCCATTTACATTCCGAGGCTCTAAAAACCCCTAAACCCTGAGGATCTAACCCACTATATTAGCGAAACTATACCATCCGACGAGGATCTAATACCCATTATAACAATAATACAGGCCGAGGATCTAAACCCTCATACAGGCCGAGGAACTAACCATCCACTATACAGGCCGAGGAACTAACCATCCACTATACAGGCCGAGGATCTAACCATCCACTATAGACCGAGATCTAACCATCCACTATACAGACCGAGGATCTAACCATCCACTATACAGACCGAGGATCTAACCATCCACTATACAGATCTAACCATCCACTATACAGACCGAGGAGGATCTAACCATCCACTATACAGACCGAGGAACTAACCATCCACTATACAGACCGAGGATCTAACCATCCACTATACAGACCGAGGATCTAACCATCCACTATACAGACCGAGGATCTAACCATCCACTATATACTAACCATCCCGAGGAGGTTCTACAGACTGGAATTGTATTTCTAACCATACAGACCCACATATACAGACCGAGGATCTAACCATCCACTATACAGATTCTAACCACCGAGGATCTAACCATCCACTATACAGACCGAGGATCTAACCATCCACTATACAGACCGAGGATCTAATCATCCATGCCACAACAGCTGAAAGGCCACAGGTTGAGCACCCATGACCCAAACCCGCATACAGAGGAGTATCTAACCATCCAATATACAGAGCAAGGATCTAACCATCCAATATACAGAGCAAGGATCTAACCATCCAATATACAGAGCGAAGATCTAACCATCCAATATACAGAGCAAGGATCTAACCATCCAATATACAGAGCGAAGATCTAACCATCCAATATACAGAGCGAAGATCTAACCATCCAATATACAGACAGCCAACCCTATTATGAAGACCATAGATCTTAACCCCATAAACCACACATGGGAGGCCAAACAGCCCCAATATCTCTACGCAACTGGGTTAAACATTGAATATCTTTATCAGAGGTGATTTCAATAAGTATACAACAGACATGTAACAATAGTGTTGCACTAACTCATATACATACAAAAATATATATAATAACCAAAATACTTTATAACAAATTGTGATAGTTCAATCAAAATTTAAATCGTGCTTGAAAAAAGTGCTTGTTCTATACAATGTGATCCAAAAAGCTGATAGACTTTCAATCAAAAACTTTTCAGGGACAGTGCTCCACAATGACTTTGTGCACCTCCACCTAGATATACGGATGGCCACTCACCTCATACAGTGGACCTATAAATTAAATATAGGTCGACCAAGCATAGTAATTCAACCAAAGATGCTCCCGATGGCAGCAAAGAGCTGATGACAGGCACCATCTTAGAGGACACTATACACGGAACTCGGAAAACCCCGACGAAACTACGTGGTTGGTGGCGTAACACGTGGGGCGGGAGCCTGGTGACGTCATTGCCAGTTTACTTGCGGACCGGAAGTTTTATGTAAAAAATAATCTGTTATGTTCAATACCATGTGAGTGTTACTCTAGAACATATTTTATTCTGAAATAAACGGTATTATGCTATGGGAGCGGTCCCCTTCTCTTCATACATGTGGAGTGTAAGCTGAGAAGAGTTCCGTGTATTGTATCATCTGAGGGGTGCTGGTCATCAGCGGTTTACTGCCATCCGGAGCATCTTTGGTGGAATTACTTTGCTTGGTCGACCAGTATTAATTTATAGGTCCACAGTATGAGGTGAGCGGCCATCCGTATATATTTAGGTGGAGGTGCACAAAGTCACAGTGGAGCACGGTCCCTGAAAGTTTCAGCTTTTTGAAGCACATCGTATAGAACAAGCACTTTTCAAGCACTATTTATAACAATTGTGATAGTTCAATCAAAATTTTAAGTATTTTGGTTATTATATATGAGTTAGTGCAACACTATTGTTACCAGTCTATGTTTTGAGTGTGGGATCACTTTTACGTGTTATTGCAGCAGCTCAAGTAGTTAGTTCTTAACATTTTTTTCATGATAGCACACATTGTCTTATTTTATTTAATAATTATACAATATATTTTGTAATAATTATTATATGGATCTATCCATGCAGTCCTTTTTTCCTCCATACATGCAAACTGAGAAGCTCTGACCATAACTGGATTTAGCAATCAATTGCACATAACTTACACCAGCTGTACAGTAAACTGGGCTCAAATCTTTATGCCAAACTTCATCCATGGAAAAATGAACTTTATCCTCTAGACCTTTTGAATACTGCCTCTTAGATGAGACTGTTCAAATGAAAGCACTTGTTCATTCAGTTACTCCATCCGTGGATCATCATACTACTAGAGACATTGGCCTCACTCCAGAATTGTTCTTACTCATATCATTTCATAGTTCAATAACAGGAGAAACGTGTGCTTAAATACTCCACCCATAATCAACAAGAAATACATCTTCTCACCAAGTTCCTATCCATTCAAACGTAGATCATTTTATGAACGTATTGCAGGCATCATCTATGCAGCCCTTTTTATAGTACAGCCACTGAATAAACCTTTATAGGGTTACTCTGCCCCTCATCCTCATTAGAAAAGGGAGCATTCGCTGTTACAGTTCTCAATATACTCTGTAAGAAAATACGAGAAGCTGCACGTCTGCACAGATACATTTCAACACTTTTTACTGACCATCACAAAAATTTCCACAAGCGTCACATCATACGCGTCAACTACTTAAAAGATCTTACTGAGATCACCAGGTTTCCAGATATTTCTGCCTCCTTGATGAGGACTGATCCAATCGTGCAGCATTTTTAACCCAACACATTATTCATGCAAAACATCCACTGATAAGGTGTGTGGAGACGAAACATGTTGGTGGTTGATGATCTGTCAACATGCTCCTAGATTGTAAGCTCAGTAGGGCCCTCTTACCCCTCGTACGCTGTCTGTCTTTGTTGTACTGTGCCATGTATTGTCCCCCCTATTGTACAGCGCTGAGCAAACCCTTTGGCGCTATATAAACGTAGTAATAATAATAATAATAATAATGCTGTGTGATACATATCTCACCAGCGCTCCCCAACCAAATCAGAGGGAGCTGTAATGTTGCCCCCTCTATCATGTGACAGCTTATAGATCTAGCAGACTGAAAAAGATTGCAAATCTGTAGGTCTCAAAAAAAAAAAAAAAAAAAAAAAAAAAAAAAAAGAATGCTTTTAATTTATAAAAAAAAAAAAAAAGGAAACCCAACTTTACTTAAATAGGGAACGCATAAACACAAAATCAGCAAATAGTAAGTATGGAGTCTGCAGTACCGCACAGTTCTTTCTGCATACCACAGGTATCAGTCCGGCCTCCACAGGCTCTCACTATGAGAGCTCCACAATGCCCACTCGTTCCCTCCAGCTGCTCCAGTCATACAAGCCCTACTACCGCTTGAATGAAAATCTATGATAGGAGGTAGACTTTCAATTGTCTGCCTGTCCTCTATTCAGAGATCACTTTCCATCCTTAGAAGCTGTAGTATGTCTTCTATGAATGAATGAAGGAGCTGGGAGGAAAGAGTGGGGCGTAGTCAGACTCTAGATGAGCGTGACAGCCCATTCATTGTAGTAACCTCCACCGCCCCAGAAGATTATGGCAGTGGGGGGGCATAAGCTAAGGAGGATTTCTACTAACTAAAGAGGAATCAGCACAAGGGCTACATCCTACTGACTAAATTATGTCCCTTGTACTGATTTTATTTTAGCTAGTTCTAAAGGTGAGCTTAGCCTTTAAAAGCCTATTACACTAATATTTAGGGTGTAACATGTTTCAACCCCCCACCCCCTGAGCCTCCCCTCCCTCTTGACAGCAAGTATGGGGTTCTTCTATATTTTTGACATTTGAAACCAGCATGGCTGTGCAAGGCTTTGCCTGCACAGCTGTGTCTAATCATTCACAGATCCCTGTAAATGAACTACAAGTCCACTACTGCTGAAGACAGACTTGTAGATCTCAATTGACTAAAAGCACGCTGATCAGCACACTCGGAATCCATTCATTCTTCCTCCAGCTTTTTAACTGAAAGCCCGTATAGGAGGTACAGGCAGGAAGCAGGAGGGAAAACGTGCAGGAGCCTGACATTGCACTGGCAAACCACTGATCAAGAATGCAATGCTTTGCAGGCTTTTGTAGGAAAAAATTATAAATGCACATATTTTTGCAGAAAAAAAAAAAAAAGTTAATTTGTTTCCTTAAAAGGCGAACTTCGCATTTAAGCATACATAATATAATATCAACTCCCAATTACGTAATTTATTTTTTTTTATATTTGTAAAGAAACACTCTTTAAAAGGATAATTTCACCTTTGGAACACGTTACGTTACATATTCCACCCGTTTTTAGAGTGGAACATGTAACATGTTCCAGCATCTTCACCTTCTCCCCCACCAGCACCCACACCTTCCCAGTCCCTGTCCCAATTTGAAAACAGTACAGCCGTGTGGAGCTCTGTCCACCCGGCTGTGTCACTCATTCACAATTTCCTGTCAATAGACTATAAAGTACTGTCAAGCCCTTGCTGCTGACGGCTTATAGTTCTCAATGAAGTACACTGGTGAGCATCTGCGTAGTCCATTGATCCTCAAGCTCTCAAGTAACTGCTGGCCTGTATCATAGGTACAGGAAGACAGCTATCCTGAGAGTCTGCAGGAACTCTGCAGGCTCCTTAGCGAGAAAAAAATCCATGTTTTTGTAACCTGCAAAATAAAATGTACCTTTATTTTTCTTTTTTTTCAAAAGATGAACTTCACTTTTAAAAAAAAAAAAAAGCCAAAAAATACACACATCTTTTTTGTAAGGTTTGAAATGGGTAACAATGATATATGGCATTGGGTTTTGCAGAATTATGGATCCAGAACTTACTTCTGAAGAGACTTATTTACAGGAAACGCCTCTTGGTCTACACGCTGTATTTCTGATTCTGCCTCTGTATAAACCTACAAAAGAAAAAATAATTTAAAAAAAAAAAATGTAATTTAAATATGTTTATTACCAAGCAAAACAAAAATTTGTCTGAAAGGCAAGAGTGACCAAAGAGACATGAATAGATCAGGATTCCGAGGGAAGGATTGCAAGTTTAGCTTTCGTCTCTGTGTGTGATCTGACAGAACGAGCTGTGCATTTAGTATTGGTGGCTGTTGCACTTTAAAATTTACCTGCTATCCACTCCAAAGAATACAGAATATTACTGCCAGTTTGACCATTAATAACAGAAGATGGAATTAAGTTAAAAAAAAAAAAAAAAGAAGAGGGATTTGCTTAATACATCACACAGGTTTTGCAGCTTTCCTGGCTTAGACACAACCTCCAACACTATATTCATGACAAAACCAACAAGAGCGCATTGATTTAGTGCAACCAACATACAATAGTAAGAGGTGAGGGTGGAGGAGAATAAAGTGGTTCTAAAGGCTGAAGGTTTAATACCTTAAAAAAGGAGTACAACCAAAGCTCGTTTGGCTGTACTTCTGTGGATCACAGGAGTGCAGTTTGTTTTCAGCTGATAGCAGGCTAAAGTGGGACAGAGCAGACAGTAGTGTCTGCTGATTGTCACTACTCTCTGTTCAGAACAGCCAAGAGAACTGAGCGATCAGCAATGTCTGGTAGCTCACTGCGTAGAGCCGGCAGGGGATCGACGATGCATCCACCTAGGGAAGTATGATTTTAAAAGAGAAAAAAAAAATGTAATCTCTTAATGCATTCTCCCCCCCCCCCCACACCTCCTGAGCACACCCCCCCCCCCTTATACTACATACAAAGACAAAAAGAAGGCACACAGGCCTAGTGCATTACCTTTAAAATTTGGTTTATTGTATAAAAAGTGATATGCTCACAAAGAAAAAAAAAGTCAAAAAAGGCCCATTATAAAATATATAGCAAGGTCCAAACTCGCTGGGTGGTGTCTGAGCGGGGACTATAGACCTCCAATGGCTGACGCGTTTTGAGGCAATGCGTCTTCCTCAGAGCCGCTACCAACATATTTTGAGATTGTTGGTAGCGGCTCTGAAGAAGAGGCATCGCCTCGAAATGAGTCAGCCATTGGAGGTCTATAGATAAACCGAATTTTAAAAGTAATGCACTAGGCCTGTGCGCCCTCTTTGTCTCTTTGTATGCAGTTCATTTGGATTCCCCTGGTCTGTTGAGGGCAGCAAGGTGTGCACTCCATAGGCTATCGTTATATGGTCACAGTCACTGTGGAGTCCATCATCCAGCGCAGGAGTAAAAACATTAATTTCTTCAAGTCAGTCCCCCCTTATAATAACCTGAGCCCGATATCAATCTAGCGCTGTGCACGAGAGCAACAGCTCTCATCTCTCTCCCTCCTCATAGGCTCAGGAGAGAGCAGCTGGAGCCATTGGCTACTGTGCTAAATTAACTGGCAAATTACGTAGTCATGCAACACTGTATGCCAATAAAATGTAACTTTTCACAAAAATAGAGCTTTCTTTTTGTGGTATTTGATCACTACTGATTTTTATTATATATAAACAAAAAAAAAAAAAAAATTAGGCCAAAATGTATTGTGCTACATGTCTTTGGTTAAAATAAATAAAAAATTCCCAACAGGTGTATACTAATTAGTTTGTCTGAAAGTTATAGCAGCTACAAACTATGGTATAAATACACACTAGAATTCACGTAGCTAAGAGGTGCTATATTGTAATGGTGGTGATCACAGACATATCATGGGACTGTGGTAGGGCGACAGGCAATCTGGTGCTAACTGACACTGGCTAGGAGGGTCCCTGACGGACACCGATGTTGCGAGGGACACCAATACGGTGGGCAGCGATAACATTGTACTAATGGCACTGGCTAAAAAGGGGTTTTTATCAAGGTGCAATCAAGGTGGTAAACTGCGTGCCTAACAACGTGTAATGTGCGTAAAAGCAACACACATTACACATTGTTAGACACAGTTTACTAACAGATCTGACTTTTCTTCGCTCTGCTTTTCAAGGAGACGAAACAGCCAGATATCTGTTCTCTGTACATAGAGTTCTGTGTTTTTGTAAACACAGAACGGTGTGTGTTATTGGAGACAGTCAATTAGCAGGTTTCAGCCAAAATCCTTGGCTGAAATCATCTGCCAATCTCGTGCGGTGTCCAAGCTCAGAAGATGTACATTGCTGAGCCTGCACCTGCTGCCTGCTCGCAGCATAATTACTGTGAGTGGTCAGCAGGTGGTTAAGGATTTACATTTTTTGGGGGGACTTTTCAATAAGTGCAATAATCTCTGAATATTCTATTCAGAATTTATGCTCCTTGTTTTGCAGAAACAACAACAGGTATATAATCAATGTAGAAAAGGAAATGCTTCACCTGCAAATACCTCAAACAAGATACAAAATATTTCCACAATAAAGCAAGGTGATAGGGTCACTATTATTCATTGTTCTACAGACTGCACTTTATACTGTAACGTTTTGGCCTCTATTACGTGAGGACAATTGGATGACCACATTGTGCTGCATCATTTTTCACTGTACATAATAAAAGCTGCGGTGGTCTAAATTTATATATTATGGCACTATTAATACATACATTTTAGCAATAGTATTTCAGTTAAAAGGGATACTTTTTTGAATCTTCGGAGCAGTATTGTTTTACAAAATACTTTGTGAATGAAGTGAGCAAACGCTTGAGAATATAGAAAGTTGTTGCCATCTATTGACCGTTATCTCATATTGCAACCTACGGCACCTTCCAGAGTTCTTTATGTGAGCAATGGCATATTTGTTAGTTTTACCAATACTATATATCTATCTATCTATTGGATTTTGCAAACTCTAGGTGCTGCAGAACAATATTTCTGCAATATAATACTGGATTATTAGTCTCAAATAAATATTGTAAAAGGTGAATTTGTGCAATAATCTGGTAATATATATAAGTGCAATAATTTGTAGAATGATTCCAGTATAGTTGGAATGTAAATATTTTCTTACAAAACGGGAGCGATATATATATATATATATATATAATATATATATATATATATATATATATATATATATATATATATATATATATATATATATATATATATATATATATATATATATATATATATATATATATATATATATATATAGTGGCATTCGGACATTCAGTTGTGCTCAGAAGTTTACATCCCCTGGCAGAAATTGTGAAATTTTGGCATTGATATTGAAAATATGACTGATCATGTCAAAAAATGCTCTGTTATTGCAGGATGATGATCACATGAAGCCATTTATTATCAAATAGTTGTTTGGCTCCTTTTTAAATCATAATGATAACAGAAATCACCCAAATGGCCCGGATCAAAAGTTTCCCCCCCTGGAATGTTTGGCCTTGGTACAGACACACAAGGTGACACACACGGGTTAAAATACCAATTAGAGGTTAATGTCCCACATCTGACTTTTTAAATTGCAATTAGTGTCAGTGTATAAATAGCCAATGAGTTTGTTAGCTCTTACATGGAAGCACTAACTAGGCTAGATACTGAGCCATGGGGATCAGAAAAGAACTGTCAAACGTACTGCATAACAAGGTAATGGAACTTTATAAAGATGGAAAAAGGACATAAAAAGATGTCCAAAGCCTTGAATATGCCAATCAGTACTGTTAAATCACCTATTAAGAAGTGGAACGTTCGGGGATCTCTTGATACCAAGCCAAGGTCAGGTAGACCAAGAAAGATTGCAGCCATTAACCTGCTACTTACGCAGGACTTTTGACAGTTCTTTTTTGATCCCCATGGCTCAGTATCTAACCTAGTCAGTGCTTCCACGTAAGAACTAACAAACTCATTGACTATTTATACACTGACACTAATTGCAATTTAAAAAGCCACAGATGTGGGACATTAACCTCTAATTGGAATTTTAACCCGTGTGTCACCTTGTGTGTCTGTACCAACTCCAAACATTCCAGGGGAGGGGAACTTTTAATCCGGGCCATTTGGGTGATTTCTGTTATCATTATGATTTAAAATGGAGCCAAACAACCTATTTGATAATAAATGGCTTCAAATGATCATCATCCTTCAATAAAAGAGCTTTTTGTGGCATGATCAGTCATATTTTCAATATCAATGCCAAAATTTCACAATTTCTGCCTGGGGATGCAAACTTTTGAGCACAACTATACATTTCAAATAGGTATACTACAATAAAATGGTACCATAATACATTGGATAAGCCACAACAAAATGGCACCTAATTGTAATATTACACACATATACACATACATACACACATATAGAACACACACTTTATTGAGTGGTGTGCAGTCCAATCAGATCCCCCTGGGGAAGTCACGCATGTGGAGACTATTAGAAATTCTGGATAAACACACTCTGCACACTGCTCTATACCCTTTTTAGCAAACTTTGCAATGAAAAACAGGGATTTTTTGCTCACACGTATTGCAATACATGTTTAAGCTGGCTAACATGTAGTCACACCCCTCTAGCACCTGATAGAATATATGCATGTACAAGCTATTGGGATCCGAGCAAAGGTATATCTTGTTTCTGGTGTGGTGGGGAATCACGTAGGAACGGGACCTTGGAATAGGCTACAACACTCGTTCCGAGATGGCAGTGTGGTAATTTTTGCATCTTATAACGATATTGCCAAATCTGGGTCAAAAGCTGTATATATCGGGTGTTGTCTAGCACCTCTTTAATGTGAGTGAATCAGAATTAGTTTATGAAGGAAATACACATTTATAAAAAGGATAAGCACTATTCTAGTGCGTTTTTGTTTGCATGTGGTACAGTGGAGATAAAAGAGAAAGTGGTTTACTGAGCTGAGGAGATAAACATCGCTGTATCAAGGAATCTGCCATGATCCTTTTAAATGGACAAAATTGCACTTTGACCAAGCATATTCTGTGAGGTCAAAAAGTAGAGGCGAGCACACATCTGGTGGTGATTATACATACA